TGAGGGTGGTCACGAGGTGGGCACAGGTATTCTTGTGGGGAACTGGAGTGTACAGAATGCTATGTAAATCAGGGCAGGCATTTGGGGCAGGGAACAGGTAGGCTGCCAATGTGAGAGAGTGGGATACAGGAGGTTGCTCTGTGGAGAAAACTCCAGGAAAAAGGTAGGGATTGCCTGAGAACTTCCTGGGATAGATCTGGGGAAGATGGAGACTTATTGGTGAGGTGGAGGTGACTTGGGCAAGGACAAGAATCCTTTTCATCTGCACTACTTGGAGAAAAGTGTTACACAGTGCCATAGATCGGAATGGCTAGTTTTAGGGCACTGAACTACACACAAAAATTCTTAGTGTGAAATACAAGAGCACACAGGTGATGCTCTTATCACAAGATCCTTCGCCATTTCCTGCACATCCCAGATCCAAAGGGTGTGGCCTTTCCTCACCACAGGCTCCTGTTGGCATGCTACTCTACTCTTATTAAAGTGTTCTCACTGCGAGACCTCTGAAGTCCTTGACATCTGTCTGCCTTGCAGGAGGGAACTTTCCTACTTTGGAGTGAAAGTGGCTATTATAGAGCCTGGACACTTCAAGACTGGAATGACCAGTAGAGGCAGATTATCATCAAGCTTCCAGATGCTGTGGGACCAGACCAGCTCAGAAATCAGGGAGATCTATGGCGAGAAATACTTGGCATTCAGTAAGTGAGCTCTGAGGAAGAAAGCCACGTCCAGTCCTAAATGCTTAACCCCTTGATCATTTGAGCAATTCTAATATCATACCAGTTAGCATCAAAGAAAGAACATTTAGACCCTTTCTCTCGAGGTGGTGGGCAGTTTGCTTATCAGGCCAGAAAGGGTGTTCTTGGCATCCACTACATGCTGCTGTTCCTGTTGAACCTCTAAAGATTATCAGGCTGTAAGTCAATTCAGAGATGGGAAGCCATTTAAGACCAGCAATTTCCATGAGCTGAGATGCAGGTAACTGAGTGCACAGTTTTCCTTGAAGGGTTTTTTTGTTTTTTTCTGAGGAAGTGGGATAGGCTAGGCTTGGGTTTCAGACACATGGATTGTCCCAGATTGGGAACAGAAGTTCTCCTCTATGATGGTATGAGCCAGGAGTGGTGGGAGCTGAATGACCACCTTAATCTTTCCTCATTCTGCATAGATCTGAAAAAGCTAGACGGATTGGACCAGTTGGGCAACAAGGACCTGTCTTTGGTGACTGACTGCATGGAGCATGCTCTGACTGCCTGTCACCCTCGCACCCGATATTCAGCTGGGTGGGATGCCAAGCTCTACTACCTTCCCTTGAGCTACCTGCCCACCTCTCTTGTGGATGCCCTTCTCTACTGGACTTCTCCAAAGCCTGAGAAAGCTCTCTGAAGTCTTTACCTATGTTTATAGTTGGGGATATGGAGGTACTGTGTAAGGGAGGGAATCTGTAGGAGAATGTATAACAGTTGAGGGAGGGAGGTCATTACTATGGTGTTATTAGTTCACACTCTTCATTCCACTAAATTTCCTGTGATATTACTCAAGCCTAATGGTGACCATAAAAATAAACAAAGAAGTCTACCAAGGGATTCAGATACAAAAGTGTGGGCAGATGACCAGTCTCTGAACATTATGGTCTACCATAGGATCCATACAAATGAGGAGGTTAGAGAGAGCTTGTGCCAAGCACCTCCCCTGCAGAAAATGCACATTCCATGGTTAGTTTCCACCCCTATGCAGTGTGGAAGTGTACCTGCTCTGAAGTAACCTGTGACCATGGTGTTGTGACTGGGGGGGGGTCACTAATAATGCCATCACTCATGCCCTTGAATCAGGTCAGCTGGTCCTGGGTGCGAGTTCAGTTGCTCGTGGTGAGAATACAACAGAGGATGAAGACATCAATTTTTTTTTATTAATTTTGAAATCATAGCATTTTTTTTACTCTTTTTATTTTTAGAGCAAAATATTAGGTGATCTCCTGTGCCCTGTGATTTAAACAATGGTTTTGCTGGTTAGTGAGGTTTAGATTACAGGGTTCAGGGAGGTGACCTGAGAAGGGTTTGTACAGGAAGCAGGCTTATCCTTGAGTGTCTCAGCCCTTCCAACCACTGAGGTGGGAACAATTGCTCTCCATTCAAAACTTAACAACAGCAAAAAAAAAAAAAAAAAAAAAAGCAGATTAGCATGAAAGTCCAGGAACAGAATGTGCGCATTGGCCTCAGCTCCACCACTCCCTCCCTGCAGGCTCACTAAGTGTCCATTCCTTACTACAGACCCACTAAGTGACTGTCCCTCCAGGCAGACACACTAACTGACCTTCAGTTCCCTGAGCATAATTCCCTGAAGAATCCCTAAATGGTCATCACTTCCTGCCGATGTCACTAAATGACCATATCTTCCCTGGAGACTCAGTAAGTGACCATGTCTTCCCTGCAGATTTAGTATGTGACCATCACGTCCCTCAGAACTATTATGTGATCATCCCTGTAGTCTCAGTAACTGACTGTCCCTTCCTGCAGAAACACTAAATGATCATCTCTTCCCAGAACACTCACTAGATAACCATCCTTTCTGGCAGACTAAGTGACCATCCCTTTCCTGCAGACTCACTAAGTGACCATGCCTTCCCTGCAGACCCACTAATTGACCATTCCTTCATATAAGACATATTATCTGACCACCACAACAAAGCCCTTCTGATTTTCTGTCTGTCCTTGTCCCAGGCCACTTCTCATGAACCCTCCCTCAATCCCACTCCCACATTCCACCAGCAGCATGTAGGGAGTGTCCCACTCCACTCTGCTTTTCATTTTATGGAAACAGTTTTGCAAAAGTGCCAGGGTGTTGACCTTGCCATGTCATCTGAGACCAGGCTCTGCCTGCTGCTAGGTTGGTGAATCTCAAGGGTAGGCTGAGCAGGGAAAGCATGTGTGGAAGAGACATAGAATCCTGGGCTCAGTACAGACTTGTCCTAGGTAGGGGATGTCATAGATGTTTTACTCCTCTTCTCTCAGTACATATATGAAGACTGAAAAGCCAGAGGAGATAATTGCAGAACAACAACAGCAACAGCAGCAACAACAACAACAACAACAACAACAGAAAAAACCTAACAATAAAACCAAAAAAAACCAAAAAAAAAAAACCCAACCAATAATTTCTGGGTTAATGAAAAAAGAAATTCCTCTACCGTTTCAGGTCATCTATTTACCTTATTTTGTTTTTAAAGGTTTGTTTTAGGATTTGAGCATATGTGTGTGTTCTTGTATAACACATGTGTGAAAATACCCGCAGAGGTGAAAAGGAATACATACCAGGGCCACAGGTTCAAAGAAGTTTTCAGCCATATAATGTGGGTGTCAAGAAAGTGCCCTTAATAACTGACTCATTTTTATTTTACTCTTTATTTGGTTTTTTTGAGGTGTCTCACCACATAACAGGTTTACTATAACTTTGTAATCTCTAGCCCTACTGTCTTCATCATTACATAAACCACACTGTAGTAATCCAACAGCATCTCTGCACACGATGGCCTTGAGGAAGCGGGTGAGGAGGTTAGGCCAATCTAAGTACTCTCTGGAGCATCTTACTGGCTCCACAGGGGAAGGGGCAGTAACCACGACAGATCTACAGCCCTAAGCATAGGTAGAGGCTCAAGAACATCATGATAACATTGAAAAACATGTAGTTAGCAGGAAGTGTCCTGTAAAGTGGTTCAAGGCTGTATGCCACATCCTTAAAAGACCCTCCTTCCTTCATCACCAGGGTTCCATTGTTGACAGAAACAAGTGTGCATAGAGGGACTCAAAGGAACTGAAGTTGCCACAAGAGGCTGTCTCCTTAATGTGAGCATGACAACTGCATTGTACACATTCCAATCCCATGTATCCAACCTGAGATCCTCAACCATTAGAATACATTTTCTGGTTCGCCAGGTAAGACTGAATAGGGACACCATGTGGTCAAGACTAGAAACAGGCTTGACTGTGGGCCTATTTCTACCTTAGCAGCACTGACTCTAAGCTCCACCTCCTCCCATTTTGCATGAAGAAGAAAGAGTGGATTGAATGGAGTGCACTGCCATTTGGCAGAAAGTGCTTCCCCTTGGGCTGAACCATACTCCTTGTCCTAGTAGATGGCTCAGTTACCATCTATCTAAGTAGATCAGAGCAGCCAAGAGATCAGAAGACTTGCAGTGTGGGATATCCCAGGGCCAGGCTTGGAATGGGACCAACCCAGCATACCCAGGATAGGGAAGAGGAGCAGCTGTGCACTGTCATCTGGCATGTGGGAGAATCTCAGGTGGGATTCATGGAGTGAAGGAACCTCCATGAATCATGGTGGTATCTCTGAGGCTTTCTCTTCAGCCTTGTGAGTTTAGAAATACAGTCACACACACTTTCCTATTTTCTCTGACTTTATCCAGAAATTTGAGTGCCAGATCTAGATCCTGCTGTGTTCCAGAAGACCTTTATCCAATATGAGTGCCCACCACTGTCTGGTTGATAAGTCAGGACTGTGGGAGAGAGGGTTGGGAAATGACCATAGAAGGGTGACTCTAAAGAACTCAACATGGAAGGGTCACTTTTACAAGTTTCAAGAGCAGCAATATCTGCATGCAATTTGGTCAACAGAACCCAGCACTACCTTTTCCAGGATGAAATCCTGAGCTAGGATTCTGAGGACCTGTTGGGTGCTAACAACCACATGAAGAGTGTCCTATTAGCTTCTGCAGAGACAAGAGGAGTGACAAGAGGTGAGGCAAGAGGACAAGTAATACAAACAGTAGTCATAGCAGATAAGGCACAGGGGAGAAGGAAGAGCAAGGCAAATGCATAGCAGACCCAGGGGCAGGTATGCATTGGAGTAAGAGTAGCCCAGTTTCAGATTCACATTTCACTCATCACTGATAACCAAGACCAGGCCTTAAGGCAGAGGTGTAATCTACCCAGTATTGGGGCATTTCCTGATAGACACATAGTTCTTGAGATCACAAGTCCAGTCTTAATCCTTACAGATTGGAACAGAAAGTTGTGGAAGTGACAAGCAAGGGCAATGTGACATCATTCCTGAAGAAAGGCCTCAGTTGGGCTTTTGTTTGTTTTGTTTTTAGTTTAGTTTTTTTTAAAGCTGGAAACAGTGGGTCAGTAAGGCATTCCTGAGAGCCAGGAACCAGATGTAAAGCTCCACACACTACTCCTGAGGTTCTTAGAAAGTCCTGATAGAATATTAAGGAAGAAATCCTGGCTCCAGTGAGTCAAGGACAGTCACCAAGGTCGCAACTCAAGAAATCTTTCCACATGTCTGCTTGAATCCAGGCAGCCAGGAGAAGGGCTAATGAGAGGATAAACTCATTTCCTTCCCTATATCAGCTCTGCAAGTCATGATGTGTCTGGGATCCCAGACCCATCACCTTTTGTTCATTTGAGGGCAGTCTTCCATGTTTGGGGCTGACCCTTCTACCTTCCCAGGAATTGCTGTATTAGGAGGGCACCAGCTCTCCCTGTCTTGTCCTGTAAGTTGTAATCATTCTAAATGCAGGTCACCAACAGTTTCTCATTGTATCCGTAACACCCTGGTTTGTGGCTCCAGAGTGCAAGAGCAGAGACCAAAGGTGAGTCTGGGACTGGACCATGGACCTCTGTAATGCAACATTCATGTATTTCCACATGGGTCCAGGAAGCAAAAATCATAACGTTATTGAACAATCAGCTGTGTTTTCTTTGTCAGTGAGATAAGAACAGCCAAAGGTCATTACATATCTACAGAGCAGTGCAGTTCAAATACCCAAGGAGTTAGGTGTTAATTATTGTTAGGAAATACAGTGTAAACAGCAAGCCAGAAGAGTGGAATCCTCCATGCCTACACCTTCCTTTCTGAGTGAGCTATTGCCAGGCTCATTGTGACTCAGAATCAATCTCCCCCCCCCTTGCCTCTCTGTCTCTCTGTCTCTCTCTCTGTCTCTGACTCTCTCTCTCTCTCTTTATCTCTCTGTCTCTCAATTCTCTGTCTATCTCATCTTATACAAGCCATGTGGCTCTACCTGATGGCACTTGTGGGCCTGTGGATGCTTTTGCGGTTGTTCAAGGAGAGGCAGGTGGTGGATCATCTCCAAGACAAGTATGTCTTCATCACAGGCTGTGGCTCAGGCTTTGGGAACCTGCTGGCCAGACAGCTGGACAGAAGAGGAATGAGGGTATTGGCTGCCTGTCGGAGGGAGGAAGGAGCAGAGCAGCTGAGGAAGAAGACATCAGACAGGCTGGAGACAGTGATCCTTGATGTCACCAGCACAGAGAGTATTGTGGCAGCCACTCAGTGGGTGAAGGAGCGTGTTGGGAACAAAGGTACTATTGAGATTCCTGTCTGTGTTGTTGGGTTTCTGTCTCTGTGTGAAGAGAAGGATTCCTGGTTGAGTCAGTTTGAATTTGGAGTCTTTGTCCTTCTCTTGTACATCAGTCTGTCCTTTTACATTTACGCTGAAGTCTTCAAGCTAACTCAGGTCTAATTTTTACAAATAGCTGCTTGAAAGAAGGTAGACCATGTGTCCATTTTCCCTCCTCAGGGCTGGGTCACTGTCTCCTTGAACCTGTGAAAGGTCTTACATGTGCTGCCACAGTCTCTATGAGTTCATGTGAAAAGCAAATCTGATGTGTCTGAAAGACAGTCTCCTTGGAGTCACCCATCACCCTAGCTCTTAAAATATTCCTGCCTCCTCATCTTCATAAATATCGTAGTCTTTTAGGACTGAATGTGGCGGTTCTCTTATTTACTACAAGATTGTGCAGTTGGGTGTCTCTGTGTTAATTCTTATCTATGGGAAGACACAGTTTTGCTGATGGAGACTGATCAAGGCACTGGACCTAGAATGCTGTTAGTAATATGCATTAAGAGTCTTATTTCTGTATATTCCCTTTGCAGAATGATAATATTAAATCCATAGTTCTATGACCTACCTAGTCTCAGGTTCTTGGCCACTGTAGTAGTGTCATTATGGGTTGCATCTCAGAAAGCAGTCCTTCCATCTAATGAAAACTGTTTAGTTGCCCCATGACATGGGTGTGTTGACTGCAGGTCCCTATGGTAGATCACAGGGCTTGTGGCTGAGTAATCGTAATTTGTACATTTTTTCTCTGAGAGTGTCCAGTGTAGTTTCTGGCACCTGGCATGTTAATCCATAGCAGTGAAGTTTTTATTTGGGCATCATCTTTCCTTCTTTCCATTTGATGACATTAGAGAGTATGGTCTTCAGCTACATGGCCTTACCATCAGGTTGGGAGAGCATATAGGAGGCTTGGCCGTAGCCTATTATGGAGGTTGAGAGGCAGTTTCTATAGGTTCCTTTGAGGCACATAATGTGATCAATTCCTGGCAGGGAAAATTTTACTGTTGGAATTTGATGTCTATTTAAGGTGTCATGTCTAACATACAGTGACACCACTGATATTCCTTCATATATGTATTTTAGGAAGCTGCTACAGAAGTACTTTTGCATATGGTTTTTCAAAACAGAGGAAAATCAATCTCCATTACAGATTATGCATCTATAGGAAGACAAGACACGCTTTTGAGCCAAGGGGGCAGATGATTTACACTTCGAACATTTAAAACCCAAATGTTGAACTTCAGTCACCTAGTCTCCCATTCACCCTGCACAGAAATTGATGATGTGATATGGTGTTTAGCTGAAGGCCTTTCAGAGTGGATCCTTGAAGATCCATGACTTAAAGGCCAGAGGGATGAGTGAGGGCCACCTGTGGGTGATTGGCAAAGAGAGTACTATGTTTTCAGTTGACAGTGGAATCTGTCCTGTTTGTTATCAGCAATGATTGTTACCTCCCCTATCCTGTCTCCTGGACGTCTTAGTTAGGGTTTATATTGTTGTGACAAACACCAAGATGAAAAAGCTACTTGGGGAAGATAGCTTACACTTGCACATCACTGTTCATCTCCAAAGGATCTCCTGATAGAGATTCAACTGGGCAGGAACCTGGAGGCAGGAGCTGATACACACACCGTGGAGGGGTGCTGCTTACTGGCTTTCTCCCCATGGCTGGCTCAGTCTTCTTTCTAATAGAACCCAGGGCTTGTGGCTCAGGGATGGCACCACTCACAGTGAGCTGTGCCCTTTCCCAATGATCACTAACTGAGAAAATGCCTTACAGCTGGATCTCAAGGAGGCTTTTCCTCAGCTGAGGCTTCTTTCTCTCTGATAAGTTTAGCTTGTGTCATGTTAACACTAAACCACCCAGTACAGCTGACCCCTGTTAATATAACTCACACACACATACATCACTATTAAGCTATAACATTTTCATTCTTATTTGTCCCCAAGACTTCACATTAAACACGTAAATAATTTAAAAGTTCACATTTTAAAAGTCAAACATTAATTTTTCAGGCACTTTAAAATATCCAATATCTCTAACGATCCAAAATCACTTTTAAAGGGTTAAAATCTGTCAGCTATGGGCTTCTATAAACATTTTTAATTAAAATAACTACATTCTTACTTCAAGAGAAAAGAACCACTGTAGAGTCACAATCAAACCAAAGCAAAATCAAACACCAGCTATGGAACAGCATAATGTCCAATTTCTGAGATCTACTCATACTCTTTCCAGCTCCTCCAAAGGGCTTAGGTCACTTCTCCTGCTCTGAGGCACACAGCTTGTCTTCCAGTCTCCAGCTGGCTCCACTCCCCTGATGCTTATGTTCTTTGGTGGTCATCCTATATTACTGGCATCTCCAATCCTGCTAGGAAACCTTCCTGCAACTGAGCTGCACTTTTATTTTTTAAGATTTATTTATTCATGGTTGTGAACCACCATGTGGTTGCTTGGAATTGAATTTAGGACCTCTAAAAGAACTGTCAGTGCTCTTAACCTCTGAGCCATCTCTCCAGCACATGGGTCCACTTTCACAACAGCCTGTCGTAGGCTCTCTTCCTGGGCCCATGCCTCAACTTCTTTGCATGACTCCTTCAGTCCTGACCTTTGAGTGCACCTCAGGCTGAACCTTCCCCAATGACTTGTTCTGGACTCTCACAGTACCAAGCATCAGCTGCTCTCCACGACCCCTTCAAAGCCAGTCACAACTGACTCTTACACATGACCAAAGGTACCAGTCAACATGAGTTACAACCATGGCCACTTTAGAATTCAGCTTCTCTGTGTTCTCAGGAAACACTTTGCAAAGTTTTCAACTGCAATGATGCTGGTTCTTTTGAATCACTCTTAACTGGTTTGCTCCAGCTCAGCAGCAATTGTCTGACTAACTCAAAGTTTTCACTTCGATGTTGCTGGTCTCTTGTGAATCATGGCCGACTCTTCAGCCCCAGGTAACCAGAATGGCAGAATTTTGACTCAGAATAGCCAATATCCCTGAAAGACTCTTCCATGATACTAAAGACCATTCCCCTGTGGTCACAGTAATCAATGGCTTTGTAGACCAACATTCCAAAGCCTCCTGAAATCTTAACTGAAAACATGGCATTGTTACATCTGTCACCTCAACACTCCATGATACTGGTACCAACTTGTCTTCCTTAGGGTTACTATTGCTGCATTAGTTACCATGACCAAAGAGCAGCTGATGAGGAAAGTGTTATTCAATTTATAGTTCCAAATTGCTGTTGACCACCAGAGGAAATCAGGGCAGAGTCTCAAACAAGGCAGCAACCTGGAGGCAGGAGCTGATGCAGAGGCCATGAACAGGTGCTGCTTACTGACTTCCTTTCCATGGCTTACTCACCTCCTTGCTCATTAAACCCATTGACCATCATCCCAGTGGTGGTACCACCACAATGGGTCATTCCCCATTGATCACTAGGTGAAATACAAGCCTTATATCTTGATCTCCTGGAGCCATTTCCTCAATTGAGGCTCCATCCTGTTTGATGACTGCAGCTTATGCCAAGTTGCCACACACTAGCCATTACATTGTGTTTTGTTAATGTCTGAGGAGAGTTGGTCAACATTGATTTTCTTCAATATAGTATTTTGATTAGCACTTATCTCAAGGCCAGCTTCATCAGAGCCAAAAAAACACAGCACTGTTTTTCAACACCTCCCCTCATTAAGTTTTCTTTTTTGGCTTCTGTATAAAAATTTCACTCACAGATTAATTTCATCTCTTCTTTCTTTTCTCCTTTGTATTTTTCTCTGTTCACTCTTACTTTTCCCTTATTAGAATAATAAGTAACAACAATCACACCTTATTAAAACATTGTGTGGTTATTTAAAAGGAAAAGGCAGCAGTATGTAAACTTTTCACAGTACTCAGAAGATACAGGAGCATTTTTCAGAGTTCTATATCTGTGCTGACATGGCATGACCACAGTAACACTTATGGAGGACAGCATTAACAAAGGCTGGCTTACATATAGAGGTTTACTCCATTATCATAAGACCAGGAAGTATGGTGGGTTGTAGACAGACATGCTGCCTAGAAGGACCTGAGAGCTCTATATCCACGTCCACATTTAGGAGGAACAGCAAGACTCTGGGATAGCCCACTCCCACTGAATCACACAACCCAACAAGATCTCACCCACTCCAACAAGGCTTCATAACATTGAAACAATGGCTACCATTCCCATTAAAAGTACCACAACAGGTAAAATAAAGAAATCTCTTTAAGGATGACATCAAATTGTAAGTCCCAATTGTACTTTTATGGTCTCCAGATTAACAAACAAGCATCATGTTTTAACCATCTGTTCTTAAACTTAGCAAGTATGACGAGACTTCTAGCTGATTCCCAGGTAGAGAGCTGGGCCACAGAGTCTTGAAAAACGTAGGTATCCATACTGTGAAACAGCAGTATCTCTCATGTGTTCCCCAACACTGTGGACACCCTGCTCTTATTCTATGTATTTTATTGTCCAGTAAACATGTGTCACAGTGGTCTTACCTTGTTGTATATGCATTTCATCTATTATTAAATGTCTGTTGTGTGACTGTCTCTTCCCACTGTTTCTAGGACTCTGGGGCCTGGTCAACAATGCTGGAATCTCCACCCCCTTGGGTCCTAATGAGTGGATGAAGAAACAGGACTTTGCAACTATACTGGATGTGAACCTGTTAGGCATGATCGAGGTGACACTGAGCATGCTGCCCTTAGTGAGGAAGGCAAGGGGCCGCATTGTCAATGTCTCCAGCATCATGGGTCGAGTGTCTTTTGGTGGTGGTGGTTACTGCATCTCCAAGTACGGTATTGAGGCCTTCTCAGACTCTCTTAGGTACTGGAAGGGAAGGGGACACCCAGGGGAGCTTTTGGAAGGTTTTTATTTACTCAAACTCTTTAAGTCCCTATAATGTTAAGGACACTGGGGTTGTGTATCTCCCTCAACTTCCCATCAGTGAATCATTCACTTCCCAGCACATTTCCATGGTGCTAAAAGAGACTATGACTGAGACATCAGTTGAGTTCCTTTTGTCGTGTTACAGAGGAGGATGGGCACAGGGAGATAATACTAGGAAGGTTTGGAAATGAGAGGTTTTTTTGGTCATGAATCCAGACCCCTGACCTATATATGCTAACTATGTTTTTAAATTGGAATAAATATTTCCTTCAATTCCAATGAAATATATCAGGACTCCCTTGGAGTCCATAATAAACACATTCTAGCATAGCTTCTATGCTTCTATCATGACCTAAAGACTATTGCAAGTAAGAGAATGAAAGAGGAGTCAGAAAAGAACTGCGACCTTCCTGTGATAGTGGCGTAGCCACTCAGCACTGTTGACTATTTTATCCATCAGATTTGTTGAGGTTCCTGTAGCCAGGATTAGACTGCATCAGACTAAATATGAGATCCTGGTACTTAGAACCTGTATCTGTAGGTACATTCTCTTTGGAGAATGGAAAGGCCATTTATGGAATGAGGGTGGTCACGAGGTGGGCACAGGTATTCTTGTGGGGAACTGGAGTGTACAGAATGCTATGTAAATCAGGGCAGGCATTTGGGGCAGGGAACAGGTAGGCTGCCAATGTGAGAGAGTGGGATACAGGAGGTTGCTCTGTGGAGAAAACTCCAGGAAAAAGGTAGGGATTGCCTGAGAACTTCCTGGGATAGATCTGGGGAAGATGGAGACTTATTGGTGAGGTGGAGGTGACTTGGGCAAGGACAAGAATCCTTTTCATCTGCACTACTTGGAGAAAAGTGTTACACAGTGCCATAGATCGGAATGGCTAGTTTTAGGGCACTGAACTACACACAAAAATTCTTAGTGTGAAATACAAGAGCACACAGGTGATGCTCTTATCACAAGATCCTTCGCCATTTCCTGCACATCCCAGATCCAAAGGGTGTGGCCTTTCCTCACCACAGGCTCCTGTTGGCATGCTACTCTACTCTTATTAAAGTGTTCTCACTGCGAGACCTCTGAAGTCCTTGACATCTGTCTGCCTTGCAGGAGGGAACTTTCCTACTTTGGAGTGAAAGTGGCTATTATAGAGCCTGGACACTTCAAGACTGGAATGACCAGTAGAGGCAGATTATCATCAAGCTTCCAGATGCTGTGGGACCAGACCAGCTCAGAAATCAGGGAGATCTATGGCGAGAAATACTTGGCATTCAGTAAGTGAGCTCTGAGGAAGAAAGCCACGTCCAGTCCTAAATGCTTAACCCCTTGATCATTTGAGCAATTCTAATATCATACCAGTTAGCATCAAAGAAAGAACATTTAGACCCTTTCTCTCGAGGTGGTGGGCAGTTTGCTTATCAGGCCAGAAAGGGTGTTCTTGGCATCCACTACATGCTGCTGTTCCTGTTGAACCTCTAAAGATTATCAGGCTGTAAGTCAATTCAGAGATGGGAAGCCATTTAAGACCAGCAATTTCCATGAGCTGAGATGCAGGTAACTGAGTGCACAGTTTTCCTTGAAGGGTTTTTTTGTTTTTTTCTGAGGAAGTGGGATAGGCTAGGCTTGGGTTTCAGACACATGGATTGTCCCAGATTGGGAACAGAAGTTCTCCTCTATGATGGTATGAGCCAGGAGTGGTGGGAGCTGAATGACCACCTTAATCTTTCCTCATTCTGCATAGATCTGAAAAAGCTAGACGGATTGGACCAGTTGGGCAACAAGGACCTGTCTTTGGTGACTGACTGCATGGAGCATGCTCTGACTGCCTGTCACCCTCGCACCCGATATTCAGCTGGGTGGGATGCCAAGCTCTACTACCTTCCCTTGAGCTACCTGCCCACCTCTCTTGTGGATGCCCTTCTCTACTGGACTTCTCCAAAGCCTGAGAAAGCTCTCTGAAGTCTTTACCTATGTTTATAGTTGGGGATATGGAGGTACTGTGTAAGGGAGGGAATCTGTAGGAGAATGTATAACAGTTGAGGGAGGGAGGTCATTACTATGGTGTTATTAGTTCACACTCTTCATTCCACTAAATTTCCTGTGATATTACTCAAGCCTAATGGTGACCATAAAAATAAACAAAGAAGTCTACCAAGGGATTCAGATACAAAAGTGTGGGCAGATGACCAGTCTCTGAACATTATGGTCTACCATAGGATCCATACAAATGAGGAGGTTAGAGAGAGCTTGTGCCAAGCACCTCCCCTGCAGAAAATGCACATTCCATGGTTAGTTTCCACCCCTATGCAGTGTGGAAGTGTACCTGCTCTGAAGTAACCTGTGACCATGGTGTTGTGACTGGGGGGGG